TTGATTGCTAATAAAAGGAATTAATTATTAATGACAAAATACTTTGCTCCATCTTATAACTCAAATGTGTTTTGCTTTAACATGTGATCATAAATTTGCCTGCTGTAAAGATCTCAAACTTTGAGCTTGCTTTTTGACTTAAAATTTCAAGGGGCTTCTCCCATTTGCATCAGTTTTCTTGCACTGCTGTGTCTTGGCCTGATTAATAACAATGGTTTTAATTTGTGACATGAATGGATAAGTCATATGCACTTCATGATTCTAAATAGTCATATACCTTAGAGGGGAACTTAGAATAACTATTTATAGCTTTCCACGTACCTGTCTTAACAGCTCTTCATTGAGTTGTAATGGCTTAAAAGAAGATACTTCCCCATTTTTCCTCTCAAAGTTTTGACTCACTAATTCCATAGGCAAATGTTTTCATTAGGAAGGAGGAACACTAATGCTGACTGAGTTTACTGCATCTTGCTGCTTTTTGCAAAAGCTTCTGAGGACTACTTCTAATTAGAGGTAGATACTGTAGGATCTTCTAAAGGTCTAACAGCAGATGACCTCATTCTAATGACTGTTTGCATAGTATTTTTGTAGATCCCTTTTAAACTTTGTCTTCTGTGTAAAAGAACATACTGTGGGTATTTCATATGTATAACCACTGAAGATACTTAAAATGCGTTGAAATCTAGTTAAATGGTGAGCTCTTCTTCCAACTTTTGTCTCCTTTGGTCAAATTTTTTGTTTGACAGTTTGTAATGGCATTTCTGAGTAGTGAAGGAATGGATTATTTGTCATTGTTGATTGCTGTCATTCACTTCCAGAACATATTCCTGTTTAAGCTGTTGTGTGATGATGTAGTTGGGAGTCAGCAGCTCTCCCCTGAGCAAGCAGTGCTTCAGGCTCTGTGCTGGTTAGCAAAAATGGAGAGTTCTTCATTACTTACTTGAGTTACTGCAGACTTTTCCATGGTTGTAAGAGTGAAAATATACAAAATGCTTGAATCTGTGTTAACTAGGCTGCCTGTTGGAATAAAACTAAGCCAGTAAATAGTGGTTTAGATGCACTACTTTTCACTGTGAGGTAATTTCATTTTTTTTGTCATCTTACAGTAGTTTGAGGTTTCTCAAAGTGTAAATGTCGTTGCTTTAATTTTTTGGCTGTAGCTTACATAACTATATCTGTATTTCAGCCCAGTGCCCTCTGTGCTACAGTAAACAGAGCTTATACCAAGTTAATCACATTCAGAATGCAGAATTTTCATACTGATGGAGATTTCTCCAGTAGAGTTTAACAATAAAGTGGGGGGGAACACTCCAATGAGTAGAACAGTCCTTTGTAAACAAGCCCCTGATTGTGGGAAAACGTTCAGATTTTTGTTGCTTAAAAAAACTTCAGAATCAAATAGCACTGTCCCCTTAATTTATCCAGTTAAAAGGACAGGAAACAGTGTGTAAAGCTGGACATGCAATACAAGATGGCAAGTTATGACTGTGTTCAAAGACAGTAAGCTTCCTGAATAAAATAATATTTTTTTCCCCAAATTGAAATATTTTGTGGATTTTCTAAAAAACTACTTGTGATGAAATACAGAGTTATTGTGGGAGAGTCTGGTTTGCTTTTGGACTGTGGTGAAGGTTGACTAGACTGGGTGTTACATTTCTGTAAAACGGTGGTGCATAAATAACAGCAAAAATCCTGCCTTAAAGGTGACCTTGTGAGGATGAGAGAAAGGACTGTGTACTGCTTGTTCTCTGTGTGCCTGTGACAGGTTTGAATGCAGAATTCCTGTCCTTGTTAGAAATTTTATAAAATGGAAGTCTTGGTCTTAATTTTTGCAGAGAAAGATGGTCCGTGTGTGAGGGTACAGGCAAGCACAGGGCGTGTGAGAGCTGGTGTTTCTTCAGGAGCTGTCAGGAGCAGAGAAGGGTAGACAGCAGAATTCCACAGCTCTAATAGTCGTCTTTGTTTGCTGTGTAGACTTCTTACACTCTTAATGTTTGTTCTGAGTTTTTTTCCAATTTTTGAACCTCTTTTTTTCAGTCCTAAGAAAGAAGGTAGCCTTATATACTGCATTCCACAACAACTTATTGCTGAAAAAAAAAAAGTTGTGCTTTAATGAATTGAAATTAAGACCCTGTCCTGTTGTCTAGACTGACAAGAAGTTTAGTCCAGCTTACACACAGTTAGCTTTTGACTTTGATGGAAGACATACCTACCTGCTGTAATTCCAAAGAGAACAGCAACACTTTCCTACTTATCACAGGATATAGACCTCACATTTAACAACTGTTAGAGATGTTTGTAGGACCTCCAGTGAGAACATTCAAATGGGTCTTTTCAGCTGGGGTTCTAGGATCCAAAAGATCCTTTCTTGATCTCCAGAAAGATTCTGTGATCTTATGGCTTCTTTAGATTATAGTACTGCAGCATATATGCCTTTTGCAAAATTTTTATTTCAAATTACATGCCATGAAGTAGTAGATTAGTTGCTTATGGCTGTGAAGAGAATGCAGGCTGCCTGGGATGATACATCAGCTTACACCCCTTGCAAACTGAAATAAGTAATTCTTTGGGGTCTGTTAGGAACAGCCAGCTCACAGCTGCTCCCGGAAGCATCAGTTAGTGGAACAGTGTAGAAAACTTTGATTTGAATCTGTCCTGTAGTCTCAATCTTGTAGTGATTTATTCTATGATAAAATAAATGAGAGCTATAAATATTAGCACTGGATGTAAGAATGCATTGGCATTTTGAAGAATTTGGGGATTCAGGCAGAAGATTATGGACCTGAATTAGGCAGTGCTACTTACCCTGCCATAGATCAAAGAATTATCATGGGATGGTTTGGGTTTGAAAGAACCTTAAAGGGCACCTAGTTCCAACCCCCTTGCCATGGGCAGGGACACCTTCCACTAGATCAGGTGCCAAAGCCCCATCCAACTTGTCTTTGAATACTTCCAGGGCTGGGGCAGCCACAGCTTCTCTGGGCAACCTGTGCCAGGGCCTCCCCACCCTCACAGGGAAGAATTTCTTCCCTTTAACTAATCTAAACCTACCTTCTTTTGGTTTGAAGCCATTCCCCCTTGCCTGCCACTCCATGCTCATATCCACAGTCCCTCTCCAGCTCTCTTGGCCCCTTTGTAGGCACTGGAAGGTGCTGTAAGGTCTTCCTAGAGTCTTTTCTTGTCCAGGCTGAACAACCCCAGCTCTCTCAGCCTGTCTCTGTATCAGAGATGCTCCAGCCGTCAGAGCATCTTCATGGCCTTCCTCTGGACTTGCTGCAGCACCTCCACATCCTTCTTATGCTGGGGGCCCCAGGGCTGGACACAGCACTCCAGGTGTGGTAGAGAGGGAGGATCCCCTCCCCTGACGTGCTGGCTGTGCTTTTTGTGATGTAGCTCAGGACACAGTTGACTTTCTGGGCTGCAGACACATATTGCCAAGTCATGCTGTGTTTCTCATCCACCAACACCCCCCCAAGTTCTTCTCCCCAGGTGTGCTCTCACTCTGTTCTCTGCCCAGCCTGGATTTGTGCTTGGGATTGCCCTGGCCCAGCTGCAGGACCTTGCCCTTGGCCCTGTTGAACTTGGTCAGGTTTGCACAGACTCACCTGTCAGGGTCCCTCTGAGTGGCTGTTCTTGCTGATATCTCAGACTTTTGACTCAATGCAGATTCCTGCTGTGCTGCTCAAGGAGCCCCATTTCCCCTTAGGGTGTAGCTGCACATGTTTTCTTAAGCAGCCTTTTGGTAGTTCAGCACAACTTGCTGTGAGCTGGGTGTAGCTGTTGGTGTGCTTATGTGATGAACTGAATTGCTGTCTGATCTGGTTGGAAGACTTATTTTTCAGATTGGTGAGCTCTTCATTCTGGTTCAGTGAATAAACATTCCTTCTAGAAGAGCACAGGAGGTGTTTCTTCAAACAAGTGGTGAGAGGGGGGAGAGAAAAGAGGGAGCAATTAACTGCTTAATTAGTACAGCTGTCAAATATCTGCTATAGCCTTATTCAGTTGAGGCATAAAAAACTGATATTAGTTACAGTAACAAATATTTCAGTGGTTATCACAGTGGGAACCAAATGCTTTCATTTTACTTCCTTTTGGGAATTTAAACAGAAGGCAGAGATGCCAGATTAAGCAGGTTGAAGGTGGATATATTACTGGGGTTACCGTTGTCTGTGTCTCAGTAGCTTTCTAATGCAAAAGTTGTTCTTTTAAACAGTCTTTGAGGGTAATGTTGTATTGTTGTACGTTCGCAGGTTTATATTTTGGCAGGGAGGGGAACCTGCCTGGTGCTGACTCTTAGGGGAACATGATAGGATATGCTCAGTTTGTGTCCCAGGGTGGAGTGAAAAGTACATGGACTGAAAATAGCTTGGTACACTGTACTTCTAATGTCTGGTGTTCCTTAAAGACACTCTAGGTAATAAATGGGTTTCTGTTACTTTGCCCCAAAACAATAAAGATTCAAAATCTCTCCTGTTTCCTTCCTTTTCATATCAGAAAAGAACCATGAATTATGAGTAACTGATTTTTATAGCTCAGTTGTCACCATACAACACTATGCATTGTGTTGAAGAATTTGCTGTCCATATGTACTGCTGTAGGGGAAGATGTAGGCCTTATTTAAGCCTGCAGTTTAGTTGATGGCTATTGGAGCTATGTAGCCAAAGCTTAGGTCACTTCTGTAAGTAGTGGCATGTAAAGCTCCCATGCTTAAGCATTGGGAAAGCAGATACCATACATTTTGCAGGAGACATACATCAACATTTTCACTGACTATAAGAACTTCCCTTCAGTGCAAGTTCTAGGAGTTTTGTCTTCATGAAAAATGACCTTGTCAAGCAGTATTCTTAATATTTTGAAACAGTTGTATTTTGGTTACCCCTGTTTTGCTATTCCCACTGGGGGGATTGTCTTAGCAGTGAATGGGTTTTCTCTGATTTCAGTTTTGCTTTTGAAAAATCTCATGCTTGTTTTCTTGATGCTTATCTGTTTTTATTTTCTAGGCCTTCCTTAAATCTTTCCATGTCTGAATGGACTCCTGAATGTAATATAGTTTATACTCCAGAAGCGGATATGAAGAGTGAAGTTCCTTCTGATGCACCAAAGAGACAGGAGAGTCTGAAGGGGATCCTCTTGAACCCTGAGCCTATTGGGGCGGCCAAAAGCTTCACTGCAGAAGTTGAGATGATTGCCAGTAAAGTAGGGAATGAGTTCTCCCACTTATGTGGTGACTCTCAAAAGCAGAAGGACATGAATGGCAACCATACAGACCAAGAAAAAAGTATCGTGGTGCGAAAAAAACGCAAGAGCCAGCAGGCTGGTCCTTCGTACACTCAGAACTGTCCTGATAAGGAAAACAAAGGAATCTTGGGATTGAGACAGCATCTAGAAACACAGAGTGAGGACAATGACTCTTCTTTTAGTGACTGTATCTCTTCACCTTCCTCTAGCTTACACTTTGGAGACTCTGACACAGTAACATCTGATGAAGAGAAGGATGCTCCTGTCAGACACCCTCAGGCAGTGCTGAATCCTGCGAGCAGAACTCACAGTGCCAGGTCACACAAGTGGCCTCGCACTGAGGCAGACTCTGTACCCGGGTTACTCATGAAAAGGCCCTGCTTTCACAACAGCTCTTTAAGAAGGCTCCCATATAGGAAAAGAGTTGTGAAAACAGGTTCGTCCCAGCGGACACAGAACCAAAAAGAGCGGATTTTAATGCAGAGGAAGAAGCGGGAGGTGCTGGCGCGCAGGAAGTACGCGCTGCTGCCCAGCTCCAGCAGCTCCAGCGAGAACGATCTCAGCAGTGAATCTTCCTCCAGTTCATCTACTGAGGGGGAGGAAGACTTATTTGTGTCACCTGGTGAAAACCACCAGAACAGTACAGCTGTTCCTTCAGGTAAAGCTAAATCCTGAGTTATTTTTTATTAATTGTCTTTCATCATGCACAATAGTCTTTCATAAGTTCTTTGGAGCTGTATTTGTGTTTTTGTAGAAGTTAGTGCTACAAATAGACTTACTGCAAGTAATGTGAGCATTACAAAATAAATTCTTGATGGGAAAAGTACATGCAGAGCTTACAGAAGAATTACACCAAATCTAAAATCTTTAATGTAAAAGTTAATGGTTTCTGAACAATGTACTGGAAGGTTGCTGGGTCTGATTAGTCATGTACTGCTGAGTTGATCCATTTTTTTTTTTTTTTTTTAGCTGCTGAACTGTATTAAAAATTTTAGCTACTATAGCTTTGGTAACTGACTGTGGTAACGACAATTCTATAGAAATACCTGCTAGTACTTAACTGCATTTGAAAATATAGAAAACTATGAAGAGAAAAAAAGTTGATTGTGATAAGAACTTGAAATAGGAGGCAGCTGAAGGAGCTTTAGGGATAATAAGAGAAAAGTATTGTATATATATCAAATGTTTTACCTAGATAAACTCAGTGCAATGAGCTTGCAGTGGGTTTACATGGTTGCTTCTCTAGCATATCTTGACACGGTATCTGAATGCTTCAGTGTTTGGAGGAGGATTTTTTGGGGGATGTTTTTGTTTGGTTTTGTTTTGTTTTATAGGTTCATTTTTGTGTTCCATTTTTTGTTTGTTTTTTTGTTCACTGATGTATTTTCTTGGCCTTCCTTTCATCTTAAATTTGCCAAGTGAAAGTAGTTGTGCATTTTGTTCATTAGTTTGGCTTTTTATAGAGCATGGGGAAGTAGATAGAACACAGCATGGTGTTAATTTGTGCAACCATGTGTTTTATATAGTGACAAATATGTTTTAAAAAATGAAACCGTTTCTCAGACTGTGCTGATCATTTCTCTGAGAAAAAATGACTGAAAGTACAAGGACAGGCTTAAAAAAAGGTGTGAATGTTCATGTTAATGCAGTATTTGTTCTTGAACAGAACCAGAGTCCTAAATATAGATTATTGCTTGTTATTGTAGCAAGAAATAACTTGTGTATTGGTCTTTAATGTGCTGTTTAAATATAAGAAGTAAAATCTGTAATGTCAAATTCTTACTTATGCAGTGCTAGGCCTGCATTTAGAACTCTGAAGCAGAAGAATTATTGCACAGCCTTAATTATCTTGATGCATATTTGTGGGGATAGAAATTAATTTTTGAGGCCTAAAAAAGTTACATTTGACTTCCATGTTTAAACACATTAAAGTATATGATTTGTAAATAATAAATATGTGGGGATATGCATACATGTATATTAAAAAACAATTTGGGAAACTCATGGTAACACCTCTGTTTCCAAATTAATAGTTTTTTATCATTTTCAGAGAGGGTAGATTTTCATGTAACTGTAATGATGTAGGATATTAACAACTCTTTCCACATAGAAGTGGAAAAGTCCAATGGCTTTTTATACTCCTTTAAAAGCACATTGAATATATGAAATTGTTTCTTTTCCTGTAATGAATGAAAATCCATACAGTTAATTTTAGATTAAAATACTGACATCAGTTGTAACTGAAAGAAGATATGCTTTAAAAAATGTGTTCTGTGGTGACTGTACTTCAGCACTAACACTTGCAGTGAGCTGAAAAGCAGTTCTGGCTTAGAGTGTGTGAATACTGTGGGTTTTTTCCTAGTGGAAATATGTATTGATGGAAAGTTTTGAGCATTTTATTTACACTGCAGATAGAATGGGAAGTTGAGCAGACATCCTGTGTGAAAGTGCCCTATTTTTAGCAAGATAAAAATGTGATTAACATTTTCTGTAGCTTTTCTGCTGTTACATAAGGCATTTCTAGTTATTGAGTTAATTAGGACAGAAATGGGGCCAGCTGGAAAAATAGCTGTGCAGCTTCTCTGTATAGTGAGCAAGCAGGATGGGGTTTCTATAAGAGGAAAGAGTTGTATTGATAGTAGTGCTACACTGGCTTGTTAATGATAGGGAAAATATTTTTGCTCTGCATTGGCACATATGCATCTGCTGAAATGACAGAACATACTGAAGGACAAATAACTTCTGCTAAGAGTATGAGGCCTGTGGCATATATGTAAAAGTACTAGAGGACAGGTTTAGGAAAGGAGGAGAGTGATAATAATAATCAGGAAAAAATACAATTAAAAAAGTAATAACTGAATTTTTAATGAGCAGGCATCAAAATGATGTGATTTCTCTTGTAGCCAACTGAATGGCAATTTTTATTGAGAATATGTCAGAAAATATTTCTTTGCTTTGAATGGTGGTGTTTGTCTAAAGATACAGTGCATTTAAAGAACTAGTAAATTTAATTAGTGTATACTGTTTTGGAAAACATTGCTGATTGTTGCAAGAAATTAAAGTAACAGATCTTTTTAATGAAGGAGATATTTAGTAGGTTGGTTCTTGTTAATAAAACTAACTTGGCTAATTTCAGAAAATCATATGGATGGAGCTGTGAAGGGGGGATTGTTTGTTTATCAAAACCTTTACCAAAAAGACCTCCAAACAGCACTAGGTAGGATTTTTCCTCCTTTTCCATCAGGGTTTTAGCTATTCTTCTGGTACAGCTTTGTGCTTTGGAAGTGTGAGAGTATTGAACTAGTGCGTCCTGACACCTGGGAATGGGTTATATTGTTTTAGCAACTGTTTGCCACAAAAGGCAGTGCCCTCATTAAATCTGGGATGAGCAGCTGAAGCTCCTTCAGGAGACAGAGGGGAGTTGGGGGCAAAAGGACAATGTAAAACCCCTTGTGTGTCATTTAATGATGCAGCTGAAGGTGCAGGTGCTTTTAGGGGTGTATATTCTAACTAGAATGTTAATCAGTGGATTTTAATTGCAACACTGAGCTCACAGTTAATATGACAGCAAGCAGCAGGATTTTTGCTGTAAAACAAATTTTGATTCTGTGTTTTGTTTAGGTAGGGCAGAAGCTTTTCTCTAACCCTGTGTACACACCTTTAGAGATAATCCTCTTTTGACTTTGCTTATGAAAGGTGGCAAAATTTCAGATTTTACTCTAGTTGGATCTCTGTAATGTTGTAATGCTTCTACCAGTATTTGATTTTCATCTTGGATCTGAAGGGTTGGGGGTGCTATTTGGGGACAGTCTGCAGGGAAATCTAGCAAAAGCTAAAATTGGAACAAATTTTTAGCCTGTACTCTGATTTGTCAATAAAGCAAAACTCTGGAAAATGGGAAGGTGGTGTTGAAAAATCTGGGTAGCGTTTTGCACTGTCATAAATTGTTCACCTAATAGCACTTATGATTCCTTCAGGATCTGACATGTTTTATATTTTTGAGCAACTAGTGCTGGACAGGCTTTCCTCTTCCCTTAGAATGTAATGCTGATGAGAAGTGCTCCAGATTTTGTTCAAAGCTGCTTAGAATGATAAGACCGAGTTTATTCACAACTGTCCTCTTGATCCTCTAATGTATTTGTTGTCTGTCTCCCCAAAAATGTTGAATATAGACATTTGATATTTCACAAGCCAGAGGCTGGTGAAAATGTTAAGCAGGTACCACTTTGTGTTCAGATTACTTTAACAGGTTTAAGATAAACAGGTATTAAGTGGAAATGAGCTTCCTGTTGTTAGAGTTGATTATTTTTCAGTTCCTTAATCCCTCCTAAAAACTACAGCATGCAGTCCTTTTCTCACAGTAACTGATGCAGCTCATAATTCCAAGCTGTTATCCCAATAGCATTAGTGGATAAGGAAGGGAATAAGTATCCTGTTTACTGTGCCACTTACTGGAGAAGGGTCAGAGAAGAGCTGGGAAGTGATGAGGGAATAAGCACCTGGCTCTGTGAGCAGTGGACATTAATCAGTGCTGCTCTATCCATCTGCTGTGAGTTGGAGCTTTAAATAGCTCCAGTAATAAACGTTAGTGTGGAATTCACTTCAGCACTTCCCCCTTGCTGCTGCAGCTCTCTGTGCTGAGAAGCTGCTGCTCCTGGAATTGGGTTGCTGTGGCATTGCCCTCTGGACTGAGGTTTGTGTGCTTGGTTAAGAACGGTCAGTAGAGGTCTGAATTAGCACAGCTCAGAGTTGGACAGAATGCCCGGAATTCTGGTTGTTCACGGGCTCTTCCACCAGGGTGCAGCCTCCTAAGCAATTTGTGTGTCTTGGAAAACTTCTCCCATCGTGCACAGCTATTGGAAAGTATATTCCAAGTAAGTCTGAGGTACAGAAAAACTGTCACCATCCAACACTAAGGGAAAGGCAGGTTCTACGAATCCTTGGCAGAATGTTGGCAGCACTAAATTGCAGTAACAATTAAGGCTTTGTTTTCTTAGCAGGATATTATGATTTTATGAGAAGAATGGAACAGGATTTCTACAAGCAGAATTCAGTTGTGCAATCTGTAAACAGCACAACACAAACTTTATACTGCCACTACAGTTATAATTTCCAATCACCTGGACCCTCTGCAGATCAGGTCAAATCTTAACGTGTAGTTTGCTTTATCAGTACACCAATCATAATCTAGACTCAAACTATATAAAAGAAGACAAATCACTCACTCAGTCCTCAGAGGAAGCAGATGATGATGATGGAGGTGTCCCTTGCCACCTCCAGTGGGGTGGGGGTCGCAGTTCTGTTCCAGGTTCCCACTTAGAACTTGGAGCTGCTTGATTTTCCAGCCAGTGCTCCGTGTGATTTCAGCTTCCCTGGGGTGGGAAGTCAACAACACCTGCTTGGCTGAGTGCCTGGGACCTCCAAGGCCAGCAGGCAAGGGAGGAATCTTCTGGTGCCCAGGAATCTTGAGGATAATAGAGGGGGAAGGTACAAATCTGTTTGGTTTGTCTGTCTGGGTCACAGGACCTTCAGAGCCTGAGAATGAGGGAAAGCAAACAAATAATGTGACTGGCTCAGACAGAGGGTGGCACTCGTAAAATGGCGCCATTTATGCTAAATATGTTAACAAGGTTGAGGGCAGGGAGTACCAGTCATACCTAGTTCAAGAAGAATGAGAGTTAAATGGGGTACTCATTAACACTGGTAGGAAATTATTATTTTATCCATTTCATGCTGACATGTTATCCAGGTAATTATCTTTAATTCACAAGCAAGAGGGGCTGCAGAGGCACATGGTACCAGCAAGTTCAGAAAGGAATTCCACACACTTAGTGACAGCTGTCCATGAGCACTGACTAGACAACCAGGTGCACTCTGTCATTGTTGTGGGTGCTGTGTGGTTTGAGGGGTTTTAGTTAAAATTTGTACCCTGAATTTCCTGCTCTGACTGCAGAGTTTTGCAGCTGGCAGAGAGAACGTGGGCCTGAGCAGACTCCTGGTCTGATCCAGTGAAAGCTTGGAACTCAAAATAAGCCATCCTTGTCACTGGAACTTGACTGCTTATTTTAAAGCTCCTCTAGTTTCACTTGTGGCATGGTCAGACTGTCTAACTTGAAATTATGTAATGTAAAACACTTTCAGTATCTTACATCTAATATATAAACTGGTAAAACTCCATGTTAATTGCAAAACAGATATAAAAATACCTGCCATGAGTGACAACAATCAGTCAAACGTAAATTTGGGTATTACACTCGTGGTGTTTATGTCCTTGGTGGGGTCTTTGTGTTGATGATGATTGATTAATCTCAAGAGTTATGCCATAATCTTTAAGAGTTAAGTAATAATATAATTATATATTATACATGTTATACTGTGCTAAGCTCAGTCTCTTGCTTACACCTTCTGGGTTACTAAGGTGTTTGATTCTAAACTTTGCTTCCCAGCAAGCTGGTCTGTCAGTGGCACCTGGCAGCTGCTGTTCTGAAGTAATCTTACAATTTTCTGGGGAAAAATATACTCATCTACTGATCTAAATGTTGGACTACAGAGTATTATATTATTATAAAAGTTTTATTCTACTCAGTAAAGTACTTTAATCTGTCAGATTTACTGTCTTTGTGATGGGAGGCCTGGAGGAGGGTGTGTTTTTATTTTTAAGGGAGGATTATAATTTGGCATATGTTCAGATTTGGATTCAAGCATGTGTAGTTTATCCCTTCTCCCAGGCTAGCTGAGCACTAGGTTTCCATCTTTTAAAAGAGAGGGAAAAAGTTTTTGTAAAGAAGTTACTGATTATTTCTGATTAATAGTCACATACAAAACTTAATTACCAACTGCTGTTCAAAGGTCCGAATTGTTGGGATATGCAAATCTTGCAAACTGAAATATATAGTGTTTTGCATGCACTATAAAATATTATTTGTGGATGTGAGCAGGGAAAAAACACCCCAAATTCTATGGAAACTGAAAAAAATCCTAGCTGTAATTTTCAGAAGTTTTGTTTTTAACTAGCTCATTTAAAATGTAGAATGAGTCTGTCAGTGGTAGCCCAAAGGCTAATTTAGTCACAAACAAGGAGGGTGTAATTTGCTTGCTATGATTTGTGATTCAGAAGATGACAGAGAGAAGTAGTGTGTACCTGCGGGAGGATAATTTTCTGTTTGTTTTATAGCCATGGGTATTATTCTGAAAGTAGTACAAAATACCTCACATCTGCATAACTATTCTGCTGTCAACGATCCAGTGACTCTTCTCCTTGAAGGGAGATTACCTTCAAGGACTTGAGGATTAGTGTAGTTAACACTCATTATACAGATTTAACTGCTCTCTTATGGGTTCAGTCATTTAGATGATACATTGATGAGTAAGGTATTCATACTTTAAGATCAGTTTTCCTTGAAGTTCTTTACAGACAGAAGATGGCTGGTCAGCGACTGGTATGTGCTAAAAGCGAGACAGTGAGTCCACCTTGTCACGGTGGACTATGGAAAACAATTGAACAAATATATGCATAGTTTAGAGTTTTTTCTGTTTAATTTTGCAGAAAGTTCCTTGTATGGGAAAGTTCTCCATGGGGTGAAAACCTCATCAGTTTGTGCTTTTGACTTGGGAAGGTGTTACTAGAAGCATGAACAGTAGGAAACAGCATATGCTTGAACTATGTGCTGTATCCTACTTGGAGAGACTTTGACTGTTTCCCTAAAGATTTTCTTTGTTATTTTGGAAATCATAAAACCTGTTCATTCAGTAGCAGTCCTGGTGGTTTCTACAGTCTGACTCGTGTAGTCTATAAAATCGCATCTTGACTAAAGATTTGCTTAAAAAAAAAAGATTAGGTAAAATGAACTTTCAAACCTTGACAAAGGTGAGTATCTAAATTGTGTAGGTACTCAGTTTAGAACTCCCTTTGTTTTTTGTGAGCTAAGCTTGTGTAAGAATTTCAGCAGAGCTGCACACTGGGTGAATTTTCCTATAGGTGCACAAGGCACCTGATTTTGTCCTCAAGGAGGACCTGTTTATTTTCTGAAGTGACAAAATCATATTTAAGCCTAAATCTTTCCTCTTTTGCACCTGTCATAAATTTCAATAAATACTGAACCTTGAGGACATGTGGACTCTGAGGAGTGCTCTCAAACATGCCATAATTCAGAGAAGTGCATGTTTGGAAGGTGGGAGAAAGACAGTTATGTTTTTCTAACTGCCTTTCCCAGCTGCTGGGCTGGCTGGTTTTGTCTGAGGAGCTTCTGAGATAGTTTTGCGTAAGGAAGCCGTTGCTTATTTGCCTGTGATAACGATGATATTTACATTCTTCTGAATGGGATGGTGACTTGAGCTGCTGCCTTTAACTTTTGAGTAATTTGCCTTTCAATATTTTCAATTTTGGAATGTGACTTTTTTTTTTAGACATTGCATATTTTCAGTTTTCCCCAAAATTTTCGTACAAGTTCTGAGAATTAAATTTTATTACGTACAACTGCAAAAGTTTGAGTACCAGTATTTAGAAGCATCACTGTTTCCATCTTCAGCCACCAGTTTTTCTGGGATAAGTGTGACCAGAAAACAAAAGCTATTGGAAAATAAGTGATGCAGTTTGGTTTTCTTCAAAATATAAAAATGTCGATATGGGGGAAAATGGATAATCTGCCCCCCCTTGTCACTGGGTAGAGCAGCTGAGAACAGTCAGCCCATACAGGATGTTAGTGTTGACTTGAATGAGCCCAAATGCTGCAAGCACTTTCTTGAAGCAATTTGCAAAGAACAGAATTCATGATTTCTAAGGTATATAGCTCATCTATTTAGGAAATTCTTTTGTGCTCAGTGAACTATCCATAGCTCAATTTGAGTATTTTAGATAGCTCAGACTTGTCACTGTCAATGTTACAGCAGTAGAAAAGTATTTCATATGTCTGCATGTTAGGCTGGAACTTTGATAACTATAAAAACATGTTAAAAAAAAAGCTATTAGTGATAACAAACCACTTTATTCTGGTTTTATATTAAAAAAGTGAATTTTATTGGTAATAAAATCCACTAATTTATTTCAATACGGTATAATTCAAGTTTGCATAGCTACCCCACACCCAGTCCTCTGTCTCCTTCCTTTTTTTACTTCAATATTTACAGCAGAATTGCTCCCTTTCATAATTAGGTCACATATTTGACAGTTGCACTTAAAGCTTTGACATGGAATTCTCTGTCTACATGTATTTTTAGTCTAGGAAAAACAGTCTCTTATAATGACAGCTCCTGAGATAGATAAAGTGTGCAAACTTTCTTCTTCCTTTTTCCTCCTCAGGAAGTATTGATGAAGATGTTGTGGTGATTGAAGCATCCTCCACTCCCCAGGTCACTGCTAACGAAGAAATAAATGTTACCTCAACAGACAGCGAAGTGGAGATTGTCACAGTTGGTGAAAACTACAGGTGAGATTTGCATCTCTCTGTATTAATAGTTTGGCTTGTCTGCAGGTCTGTCACAATACTCTGTGTGGCTTAACATCACTGAAACTCTGACCAGGATGCATAGTAAGCACTTTTTGTTAAAAAAATACAAACCAAGCCCAACAAAACAAGTCCCAAATAACAACAAAAAACCCCCATGAACAAAAAACCCCAAAGCACAGCTTTGCCAAAGCTTGACAATTCCAACTACTCTGGAGTTGCTGAGGTGATTGTAGTTGGTGTGACTGATGGGCAGAATTTTGGCAAAGCAGAGCTGCACAGGGAGATCCTGGAGAGAGCAAGTGTAGGCTGAGTTGACTGTCTAGGGATTACCTGAGCATTTCTCAGGTAATCTCATTTCTCATCCTGCTTTTTTTGAAGCACCTGCTGTGTATGCTCTCCTGTTTCTTCCATGCCTGTCTGGAAGTTTAGTTCCATATTTGTCAGGTTTTATAGAATCTATTAAAGTGGAGTTCCTTGAAGAAGAAAACTTCAAACCTGACTGAAGACAGATAAGATACATTAAAAAAATAGCTTTGTATCTTCCCAGCATCAATAAGAAATGTTTTCTGTGGTAGCCTTAAAAGACTTGAAAAAATTAGTTCTTTCTTCCCTTATCTTCTGCAACACTACAGCCAAAACAGTGGTAGCTCCATGGTGATTTGTGCAGTGGAGTTTGTTTGTTTTTAGTGAAGTCATTCCCTTTTCTTCACATTTTCCTTTTCTGAAATCTGAGTACATTGTTTTTCCAAATTGGAAAATTAGAGCCACTTGATTTATGTAAATACTGAAGAGTCAAAGTTTTTTGAGAGTGAAATGGTAAATACAATACTGTAAAAATACTGTTCCCTTAATTAAAGACTGTATCTTAGAAAGGGCATACAGACTCAAAGATCACTGTTTTGAGTGGCTAAATTAAACAGACTGGGTGCTGAGTGTTATATTAGAGAGGTAAAACCATCCCTTTCCTTAGGTATGGTTACAGGCTTATGATTTCCTCTTCTCAAGCCACATTTCATTTTAGTTTCAGTATTACACAGAGCTATATTTGTTCTTCAAGAAGGGGGAACAAAATTTTTAAAGAGAGAAGTCCAGAGATTTTGCACTTCTTGGACTTTTTTGAAATTTGAAGTATAGAAATTGTCCTCTGAAAACACAATCTGTCACAAGTTAACAAGCAAAAGTACTTTAGATTCACAAATTGTTATTATCTGCAGTTTTGTTGTCATTTATAGACCTGCTGTTCAAGACTGCATAGGAACAGTGTAGGATTTGGAGAGTCTTCATCTACTGATAAAGTTAAAACAACATCAGATGTAATTGCTGCCTGACCGTGTTTGTAGGGTTTCACAGTGAATTTTTTGCAAGTTACCTGTATGTACATGGAACAAGGTGTACAATGTACAATGTACAATACCAAACTCTGTGTTGGGTATTTGCTGTTCTGTTCTGTGGCAAAGGCTGCAGCAGTGTTTGTGAGGACTCATCGAGTGGAGTCGGGGGCTATTTCGATGCGACAATGCTTTTCTGATGATAGAAAAAAAAAAGAATACTGGCAAAATGTAGGTCAATACTCAAAGTGTTAACCTTTTCAAAGGTCTCGTTCTGCACTTGGGCACACAAGATCCCACTGGGGACAGAGCTCTGGCTCTCACGCTCCACGAGCTCCGGAGCAGCGGAACCGCAGCAGGATCTCCACGGTCATCCAGCCCCTGAGGCAGAATGCGGCCGAGGTGGTGGACCTCACGGTGGATGAGGATGGTAAGTGGTGTGCTCAGAAAATCCTCCCGTGGCCTTCCTTTTAAAATTAAAATTTAGCCATTTCCAGTCTGTCTGTTACATCTAATTTTTCTTCCAAAGCTGCCTTGGGTGTGTGTCTGAGGGCTGACTCACCAGGCAGAAATTACAGAGCAGGTTGGAACTACTTCTTGAAAAATATGCACTTACTTCAATACAACACTATAAAAGGAAAACATGTTGTTGCCTATGCTTTGCAATAGTTGCTGTTGTTTCAGGCCTTGGAGTAAAAATTAAAAAACAAAAAACAAAAACCAACCCGAAACTAGTAAAGTATGTTATGTTTCTGAAGCTGTAACCTTCCATGGTTCCCTAACATTAAAACCTGCTGGCACTACTAAGTCTATTCCTGCTGAAAATCATAAGAGCAACTTCCAGGTATATTCAAAAAGTTGAGAGAAGGAAAAACTAAAGCTCATGTAGATTTTTGCATGTTTATTTTTTTGTGGACGGTGGTGAGTTTGGGGATTTCTTGTGTGCATATTACTTTTAATGTTTTAACAGCAGTTTTGTCCTGTTGTGGTTCTGTGCCTGAGTTCATCACAAGCTCTAGTATTTTGCGGTATCTTATTCTTCAAGTTGACTTGATTTTTGGGGTGGGTTGGAGAGTTGGAAAGGCTTGGAAATAGTTTTGATTGGTTGATGGTTTTTAAGGGAGAGGCTGAGTTGGTTTACAGATTCTTTATGGATTTACTGTGAAATATCCCAGCTGAAAGGCTGTGTTGCTTTACTCCTAAAACTCAAATTATAGAATTTAGTCTTAAATTCAGAAACCAAATTACTTTAAAATATATTATTACTGAATGAACTTTTACTTCTGCAATGAATGTATTTAAGACTAGCTGTTTCTCCCACCTCCTGGAGGAAATGACTTTCTACGATGAGTCTTTCAGGATTTCAGGAATATAATTTTTGAGTTTAGGTGTCAAACTTCACACATGAACTAGTGTAAAATGATAGAACTTCTACATTAACACTGTTATAAGGAAGCTGTGCAGTTTATCACAACTTTGCTGTCTTCCTCAAAGGTACAGGATTTAAAACTTTGCTGACTGCTTTCATGAGCATAAGGGTCGTACCTCCATCTGTCTTCCTGGATTAACGTCTGTGAAGTTATGTTAAGAAATTGTTTCTCTTAGCTAATAGTTTGAGGTTGACCAAGCCCCCTGTTTTTTTACTGGTTTTGTGGGGGAGAAGCAGAACTGTCTGTGTGGCTGATGGTGAGCCAGGCCCAGGCTGGCAGGGTGGCTGAGGCTGGTGGGAGCTGGGCAAGGCTGACTGCAGGAGGGCACTCAGCAGCTGTTGGCATTCAGACCAGGGCACTGTGTGATCACTGCTCCTTGTGGGCTATACATAGCCTATGTACTTGCTGATTTTTTTTTTCCTGATTTTAAACATTAATACGTTTCTCCGCAAATGTTCTCCTGTAAATAAAATCAGCATGTTGAAATGCCACATTAAAAACCAAAGGAATTTAGATGTAGGTATCAGGTCATGTTTTTTTAATGTGATGAGTTGGAAGACTTGCAAGAGTGAAGATATATTTATTCTTTTGCTCACTGAGTTGCTGGTACTCCTACTAGATATAGAGAGAAATCTTGAAAAGCAGTCATATTTTATTTTGAGACTTGGTGTAAGAGAAGTATTTGAAGTTTTTTGATGCTTTTTTTCCTCTGATATCCATGCAGACATTTTTACTAAAAAAACCTGAGCTGTTTCTGATAATCTTCCCTTTTATGGTATCTTGTATTCCTAGTCATGTCATTGCCTTGTCATGAATTGGAGAGAAATTTCAAACTTACAGTCAAAGATTTTTTTTCAGAACTAAATTTGAATTATGCCACCAAGTATAATTTTAAATTTTAACCTGGTTACAATTACCTAGTAAAGGACAAGATTTATCAAGAGTTTGTGTTTCCCAGGATGATATGTAAGATGAATATGTTTGTACTCTTAAAAGAAGTCTCAAATATTGATAATCTGCTTTTAATGTGTGTTGAGACTAGAAGCCAAGTTTATGTTGCTAAAGCCTTTAGTACTATGCATCTAGAATGATTGAAGTTTGTAAAGTAGCATTGCTAGTTTAGATGTTAGGATGTTCTTGGTGAGTGACCTAAAAGTGTTTCTGTTCTTTGTAGGCATTAAAATTTGTAAAGGTAATATGTTAATCATAGAGTAGTTTGTCTAGAGTAGTAGAGTGGATTTATGGAAGATTTCAGCAAATGTTTTCATCATAAAGTACCCAAGTAATTTAATCTCTTTTCTAGTAGTTTTTTTTATTTAGCATATGAAACTTAAATGTCAGATTTGACTGGGAATTGATTTTATGTTAATTCTTAAAAAAATTCAAGCAGATTTTGTAAAAAAAAAAAAAGAAAGAAAAAGAAAATAAGGTAATTTTTTTTCCACACATGAGTTAAACAGAATTACCTTTTGTGGTTTGTACCTGTCAGGCTTTTGTGCTCTGACTTTCTGGCAAAGCCAGAATTGAGAATTTCTTGTAAAATAATTCAAAAGCAGCAACAACATTAAAAAAAACCCAGTAGCTTTTACAGGTTAAGGAACATGAAAGGTTTTTTTATTTCACTAGAGCCGACAGTTGTGCCAACCACGTCAGCTCGAGTGGAGCCGCAGGTCGTGAGTTCTGCTTCCAGTACCAGTACCAGTACCTCTACCTCAGAGCAGGCCTCTGATGCAGCTCCCACCATCTCCACCAGCCAGCCCTCTGCAGCTCCAGAGACGACTCCCAGTCTTCCCAGTGGCAGCACTGCTGGTACTTCAGCTGGAGGTACGGAAAAAGAGCTTTCTGAGCTGTTGTGTTGTTTCCGAGTGCAAAGGAGGTAGAGGAAGTTCGTGACATCCTCTAGATTAAATGGCACTACTGCAACGTGACAGTAGTAAGTTGAGAGGACAGGAATCTGAAAAAGATCATTGATTTCTCTGTAAAGATAAAGGAAATTGTGCTGGAGCTTTCTGCTTTTGCCTGTTGGAACGATTTGGTTATACGTAATGAATCACCTCCTTGCTTTCTGAGGAGATGGAATGTGGTTCACTGGGAATTCTCCCATTGCACTGTTACAGAGATGAAGGTTTTTTAATGTGTTGTAAGGAAGTAAAGGATTCCTTGAGCCTCCTGTTGTAGATCACTTCCTTGGGAGCACATTTATACAGACCTGTACTAGAGCTGGAGATACAGGTAGCACTCAACAGCACTGAAACAAGTGCCCTATCTGCAGGTGAGGGACAAAAAACCTGGGCAGACCTCAGGAATTTGAGGTCTCTGCACACTAACTACAGGGAGAATCTTTTCTCCTTTCCCTGTTGATAACATGCCTTAAATTAGTGGAATAAGGAAAGTGTCAGTTCACATCCACCAGTGGTTCCCACGAGTACATTCCCTGAATCATTCAGTTTTGGTTCATTTGTCAGGCATAGCTAAATGTTATTTTTTGTATCCAGTGTGTTTTGTTTTAGTCTAGATCTATTTTTCAGTTGGTTAATTATTTAATCATGAAGTACAGAGGGTTTTTTTCCATATTAAGGCACTGCTTTACAGTGATCAGCTTCACTGATTTCTTTCACTTGAATATGAATTTTCTTTGTCTTCAAGATGACATAAGAAGAACTGCATCTAATACAACACTGGAAACCGGCCCTCCGGCCATGCCAAGGTTACCATCCTGCTGCCCTCAGCATTCTCCTTGTGGAGGACCTTCACAGACTCATCATGCCTTGGGGCACCCACATACAAGCTGCTTTCAGCAGCATGGCCACCACTTCCAGCATCACCACCACCACCACCACAACCCTCACCCAGCTGTCCCGCTCTCTCCTTCGTTCAGTGACTCCAGCTGCCCTGTGGAAAGGCCTCCCCCCGTGCCTGCCCCGTGTGGAGCGAGCAGCAGTTCTGGCACCACGTACCACGACCAGGCACGTTTCGTTCTTGTGGCTCTCTCACAATCCCACCTTGTGACTTGGGATTTCAAGCTGTTACAGATGTGAGAGGATAGAATAGGGTGCTGAATTATAAATGATTCTCTTGCTCTGCATTGGGCATTATAGAAGGGAACTTAAAAGGAGGATTTGAGCTATAATATAGGAATACAAAAAACTGAAATTTTATAGAAAGTTACAATCTGACAAGTAATCATTGACAGTTGACCTCTTGATGACTATGATAGTGACTATTTAAGCAAACCAAACATAAGTACTTTGAAACGACTGCCCATCACAGCAGTTTTGCAATGCAAATAATTGAGCTGCTTTGAGAGAAGAAAAACATGAAATCTAATGTTCTGTATATAAAAGGCATAAAAGAGTTGTGTCTCTAAAAGCATTGTTTTTTAAGGCTTTTTCAGTAACTAAATCACAGCTTTAAAACAATACAGTTATAAGAAAGAACAGTACTGTGCAATCTTAGTTTACAACATGCAGAACTATCAGTCTGGTTACTGTTTTGAGTGTAATACATTAGGCACAACTGAAATGCTAAAAGCGAGTTTTGCATCCAAATATTTCAATGCATGTAGCTCCCATATACTTACTGATTTATCCATCAGGGGGGTTGTTGGTGTTTTTATGGTTTTGGTTGGTTGGTTTGGTTTCGTTGGTTGGTTTTTGTGAGTTTTTTTGTGGGTGGGTTTTTTGTTTGGTTGGGTTTTTTTACAGAATCTATTGTAATGAATTTAGTGTCTCACCCAGATACAAGAACTTAGGAATAAGAAATGTTAACCACGTTTAAAGAATGTTCCAGAGTCAAGCCTTAAAACTTAAAACAGCTGCTTGTGATAGTAGTAATTTTTATTTTTTATAACGTCACGTTTGAATGTGGCTTTGCTTTCAATGTCTGAAAAATTGCTTGAAAAAAGCTGGTTTGTTTGCACAGCAGGCACTGCCAGTGGACTTAAGCAGCAGTGGTATAAGAAGTCACGGAAGTGGTGCTTTCCATGGAACGTCTGCTTTTGATCCCTGCTGTCCTGGTTCTTCATCCCGAACGACAATCTACGGGCACCAGGCTGGGGCTGGGCCGAGCCAGTCCCTGACCATAGACGGATATGGATCGAGCATCGTTGCTCAGCCACAGCCCCAACCTCCTCCTCAGGCGTCGCTCTCCTCCTGTCGCCATTACATGCACTCTCCTTGTAAGTACTGATGGAACAGCTGCCCTGACAACGTGGGAAAAACTCCTACTGTCTGCTTGCACTCACCTTAGAACTGGCCTAGCAAAACTCATATTAAGAAATGTATTTGTGTAGGGGATTTGAACAGGATCAAGGGTCAAGTTCAAATATCTTCTTCTGAGTGACCATAATAACACTGAGAGTTCAAAACCGTATTTACTATGAAAATATTTTTCATCTCGTTTGTATTCTAACAGTGGCTTTTTATTTAATTTTCCTTGGTTGGTCCCTTGTCCCATACCCCCAGTGAGTTCTGCTTTAGCAAGCTCAGAGTGAAAACTCACTTGTTTGTGATTTGTCTTTTTGGGTTTTGTCTCTACAGAATAGTGAACTTGGAAAGGGGCGGGGATTGAACTTTTAAACAACAAACATGAAGTAAAATTGGGAGGGGATTCTCCCCATTTACTCTACTCTCATGAGACCCCACTTGGAGTACTGCATCCAGATTGGGCTTCTGAGCACAAGGACACAGACTTGTTGGAGCAAGTCTGGAGGAGGGCCATGAGGTTGCACAGAGGGCTAGAGCACGTCTGCTATGAGGACAGGCTGAGAGAGTTGGAGTTTTTCAGCCTGGAGAAGAGAAGGCTCCAGGCTGACCTTATTGCAGCCTTCCAGTGCCTAAAGGGGCTCCAAGAGAGCTGAGATGGACTTTTGACAAGGGCATGTAGTGGCAGGACAAGGGGGAATGGCTTCCAACTGAAAGAATAGCATTATATTGGGTATAAGGAAGAAATTCTTGCCTGTGAGGGTGGTGAGACCCTGGCACAGGTTGCCCAGAGAAGCTGTAGCTGCCCCATCCCTGGCAGTGTTCAAGGACAAATTGGATGTGGCTTTGACCAACCTGGTCTAGTGGAAGGTGTTCCTGCCCATGGGAGGTAAGTTGGAACTAGATGACCTTTAAGGTCCCTTCCAACCCAAACCATTCTATGTTCGTTTCTCAGTGTGTATCACACTTTTTTTTTTTTTTTTTTTGCCAACACTGGCAAACAAAATACTTTTGACTGCAGAAAATGTTGGTTTCTTGTAGGGTATATTGCTAGAATCACTTTATTTAAAAATTGCATAAACACATGTTCCCATGTTGCCACTGTTTACACTAGTGTAATAATACTGAAGCACCTGTGTGAAGATACTTTTTAAAATAAATTTACGTCAAAACCTGCTACTGACCAAATAAAAAGCACCTGATGTTTTCATTGCAGATGCTTCCTTGACCAGACCTCTTCACCATCAAGCTTCTGCATGTCCTCACTCTCATGGAAATCCTCCTCCACAGCCACAACCTCCACCTCAAGTAGATTATGTCATCCCTCATCCAGTGCATCCCTTCCATCCTTCAATCTCCTCTCATGCATCTTCTCATCCTGTTCCACCTCCACCACCAACTCATCCTTTAGCCAATGCAGCTGCTCCGATCCCACAGCATCTTCCTGCAACACACCAGCCTATATCCCATCACATTCCTGCAACAGCACCTCCAGCACAGAGGCTACATCCTCACGAAGTGATCCAGAGGATGGAGGTCCAGAGAAGAAGGATGATGCAACACCCAACGTATGTCACAAATGTACTCAGAACAATATCTAAACATGTAATTCATTCCCCTCAGGTTTGTAAAATGTTGCATGTGACTCTCAAACTGTTAATTGCATGGTTAGGAACTGTTATTAGTGTTAGACCATGGTGAGGAGTGTCTTTATGTACCGTCACAGTCACATGAGCATTAGGAGTGAACCTGCTCCGTTACATCTCCCAGTAGTGTCTCCAGGTAAGGCACCAGTGGGGCATGGAAGACAAGGGGACCCTGTGTTTCTTTTGCCCACTGCTCATCCTCTGAATAACAGGCAGGAATTCCTTTTCAAGCTTAACAGCCTAAAAGTACATCATAAGCTCTGTTCAAACGTGTTCCTTGACACCGTGTTTTGCCTTGAGATTCTTTTTATCTAACTAATGCTTTAAAATTAAATGAACAATTTATCAAAAGGACTGTTTACCAAGTTTAATTCAGATTAGATACCTGCATGTCTTTCCTATGCCTTTATGTCTTTAGAAGAGGAGGAGGAGATTGATCACATTCACATACAGATATTACACAATGTTGAGATGTAGCTTTGGTGATACTAAGACATGCTCCTGTTGTTGCTTAACTAGAGTCATTACACTAGTGTCAACACATACCAGGTCAGTAGTAGCTTAGTATTCAATCACATAGTAACTGAAGTTACTTTGATTCTGGAGATAACACGTTTAAATATCCAAGGGATTTTCAGGAATGAGCTCTCTAGTTGTTGCTCCTAATTTTGTTATACAAGTTTTACTCATAAGCAACTTAAAACTCATTTAATGCTTGAAGAGAATTTTGCTTTAACTGCAACTTTTGAGGCAGTTTCCAGATTATTTATAAAAATATCAATAGGCAGTAACTGCTCACAAATGGCACATGACAGACTAGGCAGTGACTGTGAGACAGCAGGATATTTAAGGAAGAATAATAGCAGTAGCTATCTTGTCAGATCTGGAAATTTTCCAGTAGTTTGAGGATTGGAATTGTGGTTATTGACATTTCTTAGCCTTTCTTAGCATTTCCTTTCTATGTACAGAAATCGTAGTCAAATGTTGATAGATTTTTCTTGACATTCTCTCTGAAGTCACCAGTCTTCAGAGAGACTTCAGTCTGGGTCAGACAGTGCTGGTTTGCTCAGTGACATTTCTCCTCTGTAGTTTTGATTTGTAATCAGGTGAAATTGTTTTGCCCTTGGTCTTTCTGTTCCCCTCTAATCCTCATACAAATTCTATGCAAAAATCAGTCTTGTAGGTGTCTTGGCCCAACCTCATATAAATCAGATTATACTCTGACAAACAGAAACTTGTGCCTGTTTGCTCTGTTATTGAGTACAGACTTGAGACTGCCAGCAGGCTTGTGCTTCCTTTAGTTCCATGGCCTGCAATCTCAAAGTGTTCTTAACCTGTTCTTTCACCCTTAGTTTCTACAAATAACATAAGGGATAGTCTAGCTGGTATTTCTTCTGTCTGACAATGTAGGAGCTTTTCAGGATTGGAGGTAGAGAATGGTTTGAGTCCACTTCTCACTGTCATGGATCAAGTGTGGATACAACAGCTGAAACTTCTTAGGGTCTTGGAATCGGCCATAAAATGTGCAGAAGGCAGTGGATCAGGGTGCACTGCATTTGTCTGACATATGGGCTTTCTGTTTACTTCAAATCTGGTTACCCGCTTAATATAAAGACTGTGGGATGAACAACCAAAGAGTGTTACAATTTGTAAGTTATTTCTGTAATTTAAATATGGGGTTTTTTATTAAAATGTGTTCTTCCAGATTTTTCCCCCATAGTTACTTGATAAACTGAAGGGAGGTGATACTAGAAGTAGCTTCTGCTGATAGTCCTGTTCCCGTGTTGGTCTGTGCCATTGCAGAAAATGAACACTTCTCACATAATTGACACAGATTTCTCTGGAGAAGTGTCACTCTACAGTGATTAGAATAGTGTGCTGTTAAGGAAATTTTTACCTCTCTAGACAGGTAAATTTACAAAATGTCTGGTCTGCTTTGACAGGTAGTTTAAGGTGGTACCGAACCTCAGGAACGTGCACTGCTTTTGGCAAAATCCAAGTTTCTAGATTGAATAAAAACCCATCCCTTCTGCGCAGAAAGCAATGGAAAGAAAATTATTAAGCCATTTCTTCTTGTGACTGGGAAGTGATAGAGTAGCCAGCAGGTTTTTTTTGAAGTTTTTTTTGTTTGTTTTTTTTTCCCAAATCCATAGTTGTTCTATACCAACTAGCATGGAAAAAAACTGTGTGCTCTTATTACCTGAGCTATGACATGTTTCAAGGAAAATGTCCTCTTATTAGTGTATTAAGTTTCCCCTAATTACTTTTGCTAGTATAGTTTTACTAGAAATAAACTGCAGCAGAGCTGTAAATGACTCTGAATCTGAATGTGGCTGTCATGTGGCTTTCTCTTTCCTACCTGCTGTTTGAGGTCAGGATTAAACACTTTGTCAGCCTTTCTGTGGTTGTGTCTGCTGAGAGAAGGACAGATCACTGCAACTGAAGCTGGCTTTGGTTTTGAATATAAAATCTATGTTATAATTAGTTTCTAACTTATACCTAAAGCTGAATTTAAAGTACTGCATGGGGAGTTTCTTATTTTAAAGGCATTGCAGTAACTCAGTCTGTAACATTCTGGTTATAGATGTTGCTTTCTTGATATTAACAAATATGCGAAAATAACTGTTGCTGGTTTCTGTTGTTTAGACGTGCTCATGAGCGGCCTCCTCCACATCCTCACAGAATGCATCCCAATTATGGGCATGGGCATCACATTCATGTGCCTCAGACTATGTCTTCCCATCCTCGACAAGCTCCAGAGAGATCTGCCTGGTTAGTAATCAGACATTATTTGAGCTCTTTGGGACTGGGGACAGAAGGGTGGGATGTGCTGATCAGCACTGATGATGCTGGCTGGGATTTTAAAACGTGCTTCATGCACCCATAGCTTAAAATTTACAGATGTTGATACAGCTTTGAAATACTGCTTTGAGTACTCAGTGTCTTAAGTATATTTCTAGTGTTTTTAGAGGCTTGGATTTGAGGTAATGAACTAGTGTATTCTCTCTCCTCTTTGTTTGAACTTACTCAAAATTGCATCAGGCTCACTTATGAAGCATGCACTTAAATTCCACAACATATTTATTATTTAAAAAAATATTTTGGACCATTAGGGAAGAGCTGCATGCTTGGCAGCTGCTGTTCCCACAGAATGTGCTGCAGAGAAGGCTCCACAAGGATGATATTCCTGGGCACTACAAATGTGGAGTCATCTCAACTGATTTCTCATAATAGATCTTCACAGCTGTTTTAAAAAGAACTTTCACTTAGGGTAGGATGTCTTTAGTGAAGTTTAAACAAGGTTAGAAAAAAAAGATTCATATGTAAACCTGTTATTGTAGCTGTACTGGGTTGTAGGTTTTCCAAAGCAGTGGAACTGTACCTAGGAAGCAAGATGTACCTTTCCTGTAATGCCACTTTCATTCATGTGACAGGGAACTAGGAATTGAAGCTGGTGTGACTGCAGCTACTTACCCTCCAGGGCCTTTGCATCCTCACTTGGCCCACTACCATGCACCTCCTCGACTGCATCACTTGCAAATAGGGGCACTCCCTCTAATGGTAAGGATGTAGCTTATGAAAAATTATGGTTATTGCTCATTGTAATTTTGTTTGTCAGGAAAACTGGACATGTATACATCGCTGCAAAGTGCTTCAGCTGAAGAAAAGAATACCTCACTGTATCTGTCTGTGTGTTACTCCCAGTTAGGGAGCTTGAACAGGCTCATTGTGTGATAAAACAGTACAGGACATTAATATTTCTAACTTCAGCTCCTGTAAAATGAAACATACTTGAATTAAATTGTCACTTGCATTGCAATGCATTGACCCTCTGCATCTGATTTTTAAAGTTCAGATTGTTCTTTAATAGAGTTTTGGATTGTTAAAGGTACCAACTTTCCAACCAGTGCATGAGAATTAGTACTGATGCTTTTTTTAAGGTGTATATACAACACAATTAGAATTCCATCTAGAGATTTGATTGTTTTCAAATAATTTTTGTTATTCATCAACCTAATTCTTTGTGATAAAGTATATAATTTTGTAGCATTAAGTGTTACTGAGCTGGTTTAAAAGTAAACTGGTGGGAGAAATGAACCCAACTCAAGAGAGGTTATAATTTACTAAAAAGATTACAATAAATACAATGATACAGAGAAAACTGGTTTTAACCCCCAAAGACAGATATATAACCCATCACCCTGGGACAAGAACAGAACAGTGTTTGTTGGCCCCTGTGCTGAGCACCACATGGCCCCCTGGGTGCAAAATAAAAGGAAAGGAAACCTGTTGGTCTGGATGGTGGTCACAGTCCTGTTGAGGTAGCGATCACAGTCCTGTCCAGAGTGGCATCGCAGTCCTGTTGGAGTTCTGGTCCTCCTCTGGATCCAACGAGTGGTACCAGAAGTCCCAGGGCTAATAAGTCAACTATGGGATTTACTTCCATTATTGCTGTGAAGTTTCTAGAAACTTCAGAGTTCAGAGGATTCTTATATTACAGTGTGATGAGAAACTAGTTGTATTTTAACTTTAATTGGGGTATTCCTACAACTAAAATGTTACATGAGCAAGTAGTTGGGACCCCACTGTTGGTTGTCTTTTCAGTAGTAGAACAGGAGAAAGCTCTGATAGGAAACTTCTGAACTTTGTGTGATATTTTAGGGACTCCTGCCTTTCTGCTCAGTAGCTGCTGTTGCTAATTGCTAAAAGAGGCAGATGAAATAAGGTTCTTTAACTCTACAGAAACTTGTGTATATGTTTGTGTAGGGATATTCTAATACTTATAATGGTAATTCCTGAGTGACTGAGAGGAGCTGAAGCTGTTGGTATCTTGAGGCCTTGTACACACTGTACTTGGTAGCGTGTTTTATCATGAACAGACTGCTGTAAGCAGCACTTCCTCGAGTGTTTGGGATCTGGCTTGAACCTTGCTGAGATCAGATCGAGTGTTACAACTTTGAAGTTGAGTTGAGTCTGTGACTAATTTTAGGTGTATTCAGATTACATGCACTAGGTGAAGACAAAGGCAGGTTAGAGCACCGCTAGAAGTTATATATGCAGTGAGTTGAAAGCATTACAAATGCCTTTTGATGATTCTCCCTCTTCTATGGCAGTAATAAAAGTCAAAGTTTTCATTTGCATCTACGTGAAGAGTACAGCGGATATGTCAGCAAAATTGATTTTTAACAGAGAGCAAGTAGTCAGGGGAGTTTTTCATCTAACAAACTTAAAGTTCAACAAAAGTGCCATAAAAGGCAGCAGATGAAGTGCAGCTGCCACCTTTTTGTTTTTTTCTGTGTAACTTCAGGAATAGGGACAGGGGAGGAGAGGCTGAACTGTGGGTAGAGTCCCTCTGCTAAGTGGTTAATGTTCTGAGGAGGGCTTTCTCCTCTCTGTAAGTACAGAGGGTACTAAATAGAAATTTCCAGTTTCCAGTCATTAGTGATGTTTTTGATGCAGATGTCATAAACTGCTGCTGTTCTTTTAGTTCGTTTGTTTGTTTTGAGAGGGGGTTGTCTTTTACAGTAATTGATGCAGTCACTCAACTAAAAATTTGCTTAGTGTTGAGTCCACTTTCTGAAATGCCACGCAGCCCTGTTGGCAGTATGCATTTCTCCTGTGGAGTACTAAAACCCCTTCAGACTACTGCCAGACTGTAAAGGGCATAATGGATTATTTGGGCTTTAATGAAATTAGGACTCTGATTATATCAGTTTCTGATTTTAGTTGGATGTGGATAACCTGATCTTCATCTAGTCAGTGCTGGAATGTGGACTGCAGTTGTAATCCTCAGGGGGACAAAGTGATAAAGATACGTGGGGGAAGATAAATCAGTGTTCAGCAGCTTTGACAGACCGAATAGAGGGTCAGGGAAACAAAATCTCCTTTCCTACTAGCTTGGGTGAAGAAACTTTTACCTGTTTAACTGTTGCTTCTGGAGGAGTCCTAGATTAAAAGGAGTTAGGAAGAGCTTGCTTCATATCTGTGTAGACAAGGGCCAGGCTGTTTCCCTCCTGGATTTAACACAATTACTTTGAGTGTGACCGTGGCTTAGAGTAGTTTGTGTTCCACTTGTTACTGTCTTAATGTTGTGTGTGTGCTGAGGAAAGATCTGTCAGATGAATTCCATTGTGGACAAATATCCCTTCTGCTAAACTGATCATTTTTAGGAAAACTCAAGTGAGGATCAATGCATGGCATAACTAATGAAACAGCAGACAGGGAGGACACAGGAGACCAAAGCTTTTTATCTGTTCCCTCTGTTCTTTCCTGATGCCAGTGTTTGTTGTTAGAAGCCACTTCAATTTCTGTTTAGTCTGAATGCCTTTGGCTGCTTTTTTGGCACTGGTGATGAAAGACTTTTTGCCCTGCACCAGTTACCACATCTGGGGGGACAGGATGGCAGTTTCTGTAATTTAATAAGCTGACATAGGTGTTAGAGGGAACATGACTTTTTCATAGTAAACTACATACCAGCCTTAATTCTGATTACCATAGATACAATCTACAATTTTCAGATCATATTATGGTTAGTAGTGGGAGGTGGTGATGGGTGGTGTTTTGTGGGGTTTTTTTAGTTTTGTTTCTGTTTTATTAAATATATCTTAAATAATGGAAGCTATCTACATGATTCTTAAATTGTTTCAACTACCTCTTAAGCAAAGAATTAGCATACAGGGTATGCTGTTCCAGCCTCTTGATTCCAGCTGCTTCTGCTTTTTTGAATAGTATCCTGTTGAATGGGAATTTTAGAGGTGGGGAGTGTGGAAGTGGAATTATTTGGACTTTGGTGTAATAAATCTCTCTACAGTTGGTGCAAGCCTTGAGAAGACTCCTTAATTTATCTGTGAACCTCAACTACAGCTTGTCGGTCAGAAGGAGTTGTTTGAATCATAATTTAAAAAAAAAAAAAACCAACAAAAACAAACAACACAAAACCCTCTCCCCTCAAAAAAATAAATTAAACCAAAAACCAAATAAAAACAGCAACAAAAAAACCCAAACAAACCTAAAATTTCTTATGGTACCTTAACCTCTCTCAGGTGTTACACATCCAGCTTTCAATATGCTGTGCTCCTTTTTTCTTCTGTTGCAGAGCTTGACTGTTCTCTTGCTTTACCTGCTGAATAATTCAGAGTGTTTGAGGCCATCTTTACACTTAGTTGTAATAATTAGGAGGGGTTTGGAGGTACAGAACAGTAAGTCCCAGCACATTATGGTAGGTGTGTGCTGGTCAGAATAATATTGCTCAGAGTGTAGACATGCAGGTGTGTGTTGCAGCTCTCAGAGATGCAACTGTTCTGTGCCAAAAAAGCAAAGAAAGTCCTGTAAAATATCTGAACACTTAAAGCTGTAACTTGGTGTAGTAATAGTAGTTAAAGATGAACTTTAGCCTTGATTAGCAGCATCAAATACAATTGCATTTTTTGAGAAAACAGACTTTGGTCATGCAGCTTCTATTTATTTTCTTAATATAAACATGAATTACTGTTCTTTGGGGTTTTTCTAGAATATAGGCTTTTGAAGAGGCTCATTTTATGTTCCCCTCAGATTTGGGTACAGCTGGGTTTTATCTGTGCAGCAGGTGTTACTTGTTCCTTCATACAGAGCCTCTCTAGGAAAACTGCAGCTTTTCCTTGTTCAAATTTGACTTAAGACATTAATTGATTGGCTTTACTTCTTTTTGAGTATTGATAGTAGCTGAGCAGTGAACTGAATAAGTTTACTGTTGGAAGTTGTTTTACTATATATGAAGATGACACTTAATATGAACCGTGGAATAGAAGGTTGGGATGGACAAGATAAATAGTACCAGACAGTGTACTCTCCACTGACTGTGGCAAGTGAAAAGCAGAAGGATCCTGCAAAGATAGAGGGTAGAAGGGAAGAAAACCTCCCCTGCAGTTCAGCTGTTTCAAACTGTCTCAGAATGTTTGTGTTGTAAACGGCTCAGACTTGGCCTTGGATTTTTTTAGTTGCTGCAGATTTTTGCGATCATGGGAAGTGTCAATAGAAAGTGCAAAACCAGAAACAGATGATACTTGTTCTACAGGAAAAAACTTGTGCTGAAATTTGTAGGTCCAGAGTATATTGCTTTAAAGTATATATATTATTTTGATTGTATCCAAAAGAATATATACAAGCACTTTGTGCAGACTGGCATTGCCTTTAACTACTTACATTCTTCCTTAGCTTTAAACTTTTCTTTTTTTCTTATGTTCAATATGAAAACTTACTGAAAATAAACTTAATTTGTGTGTGAAACTGTTTCAAGAGAGCTGAAATATTTTTGCATTTGAAGCTTGATGGTAATTGTGCAAAAGACTTCAGTAAGACTGTTCTTAGTTGGGCATTATTGATAGTTCTCTCTTGCCCATCTTTTCTCCATCGTGTATCACAAATGTACTCAGTTAAAATCTCACTGTATTAGCAGACTGCTTATTCTGCAGATGTAGAAGAACTGGGCTTTTTCTTACAGAGATGTTTTTTCAAAGTAGTGTTTTACTTGGCCAGAAGTATAAGCTGTACTCTCAGGATACTTTATAAAAGAACCTGTACACATTGTATGTTCAGATTATTTTGCAGAGTTGTTATGCCATCCCCATCAGCATGAGGACCTGTTTATCAGCATGAAGATACATCATCCCACATGATATTTCTGTTGTCTGAGTTCAGTAGGTTGTTGTGGTATGTGCTCCGAGAAATTCCTGGGTTTGTAGTGTTAAAATTAAATTTAGTAGGTTTCTTAAATAGTCTCTGGTAGCAGAATTTGTTCCAAATAGGAGACCTGTCCAGGTGCATGTCACTGCAGTTGGCAAACTGTGACTGGTGAGGCAATTGGAACTGTAATTACTGTAATTGGAACAGAATTACACAATACACCCGGGACTTTGCAGCTCCTATAATGGTGCAGTATCTGCACTCTCACATGCATTGCTTTCCAAAGGATTGTTTTTAAATCCTGGTCAATACAAAAACAGGCAGTGAAAATCACTTCTGAGACTTGGGTTAATTTTTATCAGGACTTTCCTCTTCTGAGTGGTGGCAATCGATTCACAATGTAATAACAGGCAGTAGAAACTTCCAAATGATGCCAGGTCTATGCCCAGTAAAAACCTGGGACAGTAAATACGTTCATAGTGTGAATGAGTGACCCAGTTATTTAAATGTGTTTTCTGTAATTGGAAGCCGAAGTAGAATTACACACTTAAATACAGCATGAATCGTAAATCACTGATTATCTGAGACAGATTTCTCACAATGTAGATTTTACAAATTAGCATATTTTTAATTCACTGCCCCAGACTTTCTTTGTTACACTCACAGTTGGTATTGTCAAACAGTAAGATCTGTGACACAAACAGATACTACTTATGTGAAATGTTTAGATATGTGCACGAATATGCATCTTCAGTTTCTATACCTCTGATTTGTTGTAACTTAATAGTGGTGGTGTGGCTCTATTTGTGGCTCATGATTGGCATTATGAGGTGGTCATTTAACAAGCATCGTGTAAACTGCTTTAAAATAATCAGATTCTGTGTTTCTTTTCTGGACAAAAAATATTTAGGGCAGAGAAATCTTTTCTGTCCCTGTCGGCTTTTAGTTGCAATACTGGATTTGAAAACTACAGAAAGGTAGCTTACTGTGCTGTGAGTAGCTTTGTGTAGGCCTGTGCTTTTTCATAATGCATTCATTCAGTTTTACACCTTCATATATGTTAAGCTTCAGAGTGTCTGCTGGAAAGAAGAAAAGCCACACGTGAATACCAGACTTCATGAATAATATCTGGGATATCTGACTTGCTGGCAGTCTCATAAGATGAATTTTGAGCTGTCATAAACAGCAGCAGAGGCATTATCAGCTGATAGCACGGAAAGGAAGATAGTTCTTAAGTACTTAATGTTATTTCCACGTGAAGTGCTGCTTACAGTGCTCACAGTCCTCATATTGATGTGCTCTGTGGGATTAAGTAAAGTGAATCTGCTGATCATTTGGGTTTGGGGTTTTTTCCACCTGTTCATTAAAAATTGCTACTGGTATGTTTCTGACAAAAAGTCAATCCCATTATTCACTCATCCTGCTGGGGTGCAAATGGAGTGCAGAAGCCCTGCTGTGAAGGGATCCCTGATATATTAACTACCTTTCAGGTTTCCTGTATGAAAGTGCTGGTGGGATATAACACCGGACACTGGTATTGTGTTCACTGCTTGTATCTCTTAATATGCAAGGAAGTCAGTGGATGCTTGAATATGGAGTGTACTTAGAGTTACCTATGACTTCAGATGAGAGTTTTGAGTGTTAATTATCTGCCTCTAATTTTGAAGTGTGTCTGAAGATGTTCTGTTGTTTTGGGTAAGATAAGAATTTTGGCTGTTTTTTTCAGTCTCGGTATTAGCCTTGTTTCTTCTGTGGTACTAAAAACTTAAATTTGTGAATCTGTAGCAAGTCCTTTTCATAACTTCATGTGTAGCTGCTAGGTGTTCTGTTTACAGAAACAGGTAGATATTTTTGGTGGCTTATACAATGTGGTTTGAGGTTTTGAGACTTGGAGATTGAGTCCAAGCCATATGTAATGCAGATGGGGAGAGATGATAATAGAGGATCTGGTCTCACTTCTGTTTTGCTCCTGGTTATGTTTAGAGGGCTCAGAGTGGTGTTTGTGTTGTGCTTTCAGTTGGAATTGTTTGCTCAGGCTGAGGAGTATAAATAATAAGCAAGTCAATGAAAGCAAAAGGAACTTAAATTTTGTGAAGTGAACAGTAAAATACTGAGACTGTTCTGAATAGGTTTAACTGAACATCTGCTGTTTGAATAGGTACCAGACATGGCGGGCTACCCTCACATCCGTTACATTTCATCGGGATTGGATGGAACATCATTCAGAGGCCCTTTCAGGGGCAATTTTGAGGTTTGTAATAGAAAAAACTAGATAAATGTCAAAATGTGTCATGAGGGAATATGGGGAGGGTGTATGGTAGAGCTAGTTCTATATATAGATACAAAAGAATCATAAAGAAAATAGTCTTTATTTCGGGAATGCCCTCACCACGGTGAACTGGAACAAAAGCACCTTGAACAGTGTCAGAGGAGCCCTGGACAAGGCAGGCTTAGGTGGTTATTAACTGACAGGACATCTTGCTCTGCCCTCCACCCAGTAGTAGGATGGAGTATTCACATGATACACTGGTAGAAGGTAGTGGTGTCTCTGAACAACTGTGCCAGGATCCTCCTAGCAGGGCTGAAACTTGGCCACTGTAACAGTGCTGTCCTGTTCTGTAGTGCAGGAGCTGAAGTGGAGTGAAGAAAATAAAACAGGAGAAAACAAAAGGTATCAGATGCAGAGAGTTAATGACCTAGTCCACTGAAAACCTCTTCAGTGACATCTCATGCTTCCAATAAACTCATTGCTGGAGAAAAATAAATCAGTCATTATATTTCAACTTAAGCAACTTTTTTTATTCTTCTAAGCCTTAATGACTGGTAGAAACTAAATATTTACATAGTGTATTTTAATTGCATTTTCCTCATTAGACACAAAAGTACATGTGAACATACTGATAACCATTCCTAGCTGACAAAAAAATTCCAATTTTTTTAGTAGTAAAATAGTGTTTCCCTATAACTTGAAATACCAGGCAGTGTTGTGGGGTTTTTTCTACAGAAGCCCATCACTTTTCCCACACAACTTGCTTTTTTTGGCTTTGCCTGTATTTGAGTAAGTTGGGAAATAAGAGTTTGTCATTCTAAAATTGGAAATGGGTTAAAATAAAATTTAGTGTTTACTCAAGGTAGTTGAAATAGTAGTTTTTACACTGTTTATTCCTTCATGATTTTTAGGAGCTGATTCACTTGGAGGAACGATTAGGCAACGTTAATCGTGGAGCAACACAGGGAACTATAGAAAGATGCACATATCCACATAAATACAAAAAGGTGAGGATTTCTCAAGCTGTGGCCTGTCTCTAATAGTTCTTTGAGCATGTAATAATGGTTATGGTTAGCTTAAACCTGCAGAAATGTCAGCTTCAGGGAGTGCATGTTTTCTCTATCTTGAAGTTTCAAGGATTGTAAGCAAAGCTTGCAATGCCACTTCTTTCCCAAGGAAAATTTAAAATTTGTTCCTTAGATAAAAGAGCTGCTGTAATGTGATAAACAAAAGCGGTTTGATATGATTAACTTGTCCAGCAGTTATGAGAACCCTTGTGAGCAACGAAATAATGACTGGTAATAGCAAAATTGTCAACAGACTTCAGTGAGAACACATAAAATACGTTAAGACTTTATTTTTTGCAATAAATTTTTCCTGTACCTGCTTGGTATGTATCAATTTAACCCTTGCTCTGATTACATTGCTGGGACAGTGGGAAGGTTTGAATCTGGTACACAATTTTGAGAACTGAGATTGTCTCTCAATTGGAGTTTAGTATATGATAATATAGAATCCCATTCACACTGACATTGTTCTTTCACACTTGATAAATAGTGACTTAAGATATCGGGCTTGAAAGGTTTTTTTTTTCTCTACATGAATGAAATTAAGATCTTTATAGACAGTAAGTAAAAGAACTGGTTGCAGCCATATGAAAATAATATATTCACAGTCCTGCAGACTTCTATAATTAACAATAGTTAAGTCTCAAATGTCTAAGTTTTGCTCCAAGTGCTGGTTCTTGATTCATTTCGGTTCAAATACATGTGAATAAATATTACAAAATGTTTTCAAAGAAATATGTGTTGAATATGTATCAAAAACAGATTTTACTCAGTTTGTCAATAATGTCATCTCTACTAATAAGGTAACAACTGATTGGTTCTCACAGAGGAAACTACACTGCAAACAAGATGCAGAGGAAGGAACAGAAGAAGACACAGAGGAA